TCATTGCCATCTCTTCCTCATGATGGCTGGTTAGTGCCTCTTCTTTGATCCTCTAAATTCCCTTACACAAACTTTAATGCCCAGCTCTTTCTACATTGGAGAAAGTCCAATTTAGATAATACATTCCTTAATCTGTATTATTCATATAATGGTCTGCTTTCTTATTTGAACCCTCACTAATAATTGCAGTCCTTGTGCTGAGTCTGTAACCCAAGGATTTTATGTATTAATAGTATGTTTTACATATCCCACCGTACCTTTTATAGAAAGGAAAAGAGATTGCTCAAACAAAGGAAGAGGAACTTGACCATGTACGCTCATTACCTCAACTAATTTTGAACATGGCCTGCATAGTATGACATCTACTAGGACTTAAAGTACCAGTATTGATCATGACAATCCTTCACATTTACCGTGTTTTATAATTTTTTAAATTCTTTCATATATATCAATTAATGCTCACAATTGCTACTAGTGATCATTTATTGCTATGTACTGTATATACTGCACTAGACCACACACTACATATAAGCATATAAGATTATCACTTTATAATGAAATAAAATATGCATTTTTTAACAGTGGCCACCAAGGTGCATTTTTAAGACAGCAATTATTGGGGGGCAGGAGGAATATTAATAAACAGTTATTTTTTAATTTTATTTTAAGTTCTGAGATACATCTGCTGAATGTGCAGGGTTGTTACATAAGTATACATGCGCCATGGTGGTTAGCTATACCTATCAACCCATCATCTAGATTTTAAGCCCTGCATGCATTAGGTATTTGTTCTAATGCTCTCTGTCCCCCATAAAAAAATTTTTATGGCTGCATAGTATTCCATGGTGTATAGGTGCCACATTTTCTTTATCCAGTCTATCATTGATGGGCATTTGGGTTGGTTCCAAGTCTCTAGTATTGTGACTAGTGCTGCAATAAACATATTCATGCGTGTGTCTTTATGGTAGAATGATTGATAATCCTTTGGGTATATACCCAGTAATGGGATTGCTGGTCAGATGGTATTTCTGGTTCTATATCCTTGAGGAATTGCCATACTGTCTTCCACAATGGTTGAACTAATTTATACTCCCACCAACAATGTAAAAGCATTCCTGTTTCTCCACATCCTTGCCATCCAGCATCTGTTGTTTCCTGACTTTTTAATTATTGCCATTCTAACTGGCATGAGACGGTATCTCATTGTGATTTTGATTTGCATTACTCTAATGACCAGTGATGACGAGCTTTATTTTATATGTTTCTTGGCCACATAAATGTCTTCTTTTGAGAAGTGTCTGTTCATATGCTTTGCCCACTTTTAATGGGGCTGTTTGTTTTCTTCTTGTACATTTGATTAAGTTCCTTGGGGATTCTGGATATTAGCCCTTTGTCAGATGGATAGATTGCAAAAATCTTCTCCCATTCTGTAGGTTTTCTTTTCACTCTGATGATAGTTTACTTTGGTTTTCATAAGCCCTTTAGTTTAATTAGATCCCATTTGTCAATTTTTAATTTTGTTGTCATTGCTTTTGGTGTTTTAGTCATAAAGTCTTTGCCCATGCCTGTGTCCTGAATGGTATTGCCTAGGTTTTCTTCTGGGATTTTTTATGCTTTTAAATATTTGTTTTGCATTTAAATATTTATTCCATCTTGAGTAGATTTTTGTATGAGGTGTAAGGAAGGGGTCCAGTTTCTGTTTCTGCATATGGCTAGCCAATTTTCCCAGCATGATTTATTAAATGTAGAATTATTTCCCCCAGTGCTTGTTTTTGCCAAGTTTGTCAAAGATCAGATGGTTGTAGATGTGTGGTGTTATTTCTGAGGTCTCTGTTCTGTTCCATTGGTCTATATATCTGTTCTGGTAGCAGTACCATGCTGTTTTTGTTACTGTAGCATTATAGTATAGTTTGAAGTCAATAGTGTGATGATGTCTCCAGCTTTGTTCCTTTTGCTTAGGATTGTGTTGTCCAAATGGGCTATTTTTTAGTTCCATATGACATTTAAAGTAGTTTTTTTCTAGTTCTGTGAAGAAAGTCAATGATAGCTTGATGGGAATACCATTAAATCTATAAATTACTTTGGGCAGTATGGCCATTTTCATGATATTGATTCTTTCTATCCATGAGCATGAAATTTTTATTTTTTTCTATTTGTTTATGTCATCTCTTATTTCCTTGAGCAGTGGTTTGTTATTTTTGAAGAGGTCCTTTATGTCTCTTGTAAGTTGTATTCCTAAGTATTTTTATTTTCTTTGGAGCAATTGTGAATGGGATTTCACTCATGATTTGGCCCTCTGCTTGTCTATTTTTGGTGTACAGGAATGCTTGTGATTTTTGCACATTGATTTTGTATCCTGAGACTTTACCGAAAAGTTAAATTTTTTAAAATAAACTTTCACTCCTGCTTTAAAGCTTGCCTCATTCACCCCTGCCTTACGCCCCTCAGTCAAATTCTTACCCCATGATCTCAGCCCAAAAACTCCTTTGGCTGATAAACAACTTTTATCCACTTTTTAATGTAAATTTGTTTAATTTCTTTGTAGATTCTGGATACTAGATTTCTATCAGATGGATAGATTGCAAAAATTTCCTCCCACTCTGTAGGTTGCCTGTTTTCTCTGATGATAGTTCGTTTTGCTGCGAAGAAGCTCTTTAGTTAATTAGATACCATTTGTCAATTTCTGCTTTTGTTACAATCACCTTTGTCATGAATTCTTTACCCATGCCTATGTCCTGAATGGTATTGCCTAGGTTTTCTTCTAGGGTTTTTATAGTTTTGGGTTTTACATTTAAGTCTTTAATCCATCTTGGGTTAAGTTTTAAATAAGAAGAAATGAATCCAGTTTCAATTTTCTGCATATGGCTAGCCAGTTCTTCCAGCACCATTTATTAAATAAGGAAAACTTTTCCAAGTGCTTGTTTTTGTTAGGTTTGTAAAAGATTAGGTAACAAACATGCACATTCAGGACAGGTATCCCAGAACTTAAAGTTATATGAAATTTTTATAAAAACAATGTTCATCAGGATATTGGCTTAAATTTTGCTTTTTTTCTTGCATCTTTGTCAGGTTTTGGATCCGGATGATGGTGGCCTCTGAAGGTATCATATTACCTCATTTCAAACTGTGCTACAAGGCTACAGTAACCAAAACAGCATGGTGATGGTAGAAAAACAGACACATAGACCAATGGAACAGAATAGGAAACTCAGGAATAAGATAGCACAACTACGGCCCCTATGGCCGTCTACGCAGCCATAAAAAAGAACAAGATTATGTGTTTGCAGGGACATGGATGGAGCTAGAAGCCATTATCCTCAGCAAACTGTGCCCTAGATGGTATTGCCTAGATTTTCTTCTAGGATTTTTATGGTTTGGGGTTTTACATTTAAGCCTGTAATTGATCTTGAGTTAATTTTTGTATAACGTGTAAGGAAGGAGTCCATTTTCAAGTCCAGCAAATGAATACAGGAACAGAAAACAAAATACCATATATTCTCACTTATAAGTGGGAGCTGAACAATAAGGACACATGGACACAGGAAGGGGAACAACACATACAGGGGCCTGTTGGGGGACAGTGTAGGGGAGAGACAGCACTAGGAAAAATAGCTAATGCATTCTGGAATTAATACCTAGATGGTGGTTTGATAGGTACAGCAAATCACCATGGCACATATTTATCTCTGTAACAAACCTGCACATCCTGCCCATGTATCCTGGGACTTAAAATAAAAATAAAAATTTTAAAAAATTGTAAATGTTTCATGCACTTTTCAAAAAATATGTATTCTGTTTTTTATGCAAGATTCTCTTAATATATTCATTACATCAACTTTGATCATTGTATTGTCAAGTTTTCTGTTGTCTTACTAATTTTATCATAACAAATGTGTGTGTATGTATATATAATTAAATGAATAGCATGTGAAAACCTCCCATTTAAATTATAGATTTGTTCATTTCTCCTTGAAATTATCCATTTATTGCTGTATATATTTTTAAGAACTATTTTCTTAGAGGTATGCAAGTTTATGATTATATACACTCAGTGAATTGTTTTCTATGTAATGATACCATTTCTTTTTCTTTCTTTTTTAAAATTACTTGTTGTTTGTTTTAAGGACTATTTAGTCTGAAATTAATATTGTTAAACCATCCATATTTTGATTGAAAATTGCATAGTACATTTTTTCTATCCCTTTACTTCAAAAGTTTCTACTTGAATATGTCATACTGTATTTCTTACAAAGAATATATAACTAAATTTATTGTAGCAGTTGTAGTTTTTGCATTTTAAGTCCATTCTAGGGATTCGCAGGATCGTGATGATAATGACAGTATAGTTTGCAATCTTTTTAAATCCTCACTTTAAAATAAATAGAGCAATTATATAGCAAAACAAAAAATCCATGTTTACAACAAAAGTAGGCAACAAGGTATATGCCCTAATACAAACAAATGGAAACAAACACCAACAGCCCAAGGACCCACATGATATTTGCATTTGTTCAGGGGAAAGCAAAGGAAATCAAATGGTACCATGTCTAAAGGTGAATGGATCCCCATTAAGAGCCAACAGTTATTTACTGAAAGTACAGTGGGCTAATTTGAGAACACCTATGAAACTGAAAATAGATTTTTCCCTCCTAATACCACATGAGTTCAAAGAGCATGAAATAAGGATTTAAGGGGTTTCACAACCACTTAACTGTTGCGAAATCTCAAACCTAAAATGGGCTCCCTTCTAAGACAGGAAGCACCTGTGGAGAAACTCCTAGAACTAGAATAAAAAACAAACATGTTGGGGAAAACAGAGCCTAAAACAGAAGATTCTTGGTTGGAGAAGATAACCAAAAAATCTCAATAAACAAGCAGTAATTTTTTTAACACTATGTAAAATTTATACTCCCAGCAGCAGTGTATAGGCATTCCCTTTTCCTCCACAACCTCACCAGCATCTGTTAGTTATTTTGTCTTTTTAATAATAGCTTTTCTGGATGCTTTAAACTTATGAGTAAGGAAAATAATGATTCGGGGTGATGCCCGAATGCTTAAAAAAAATAAAAGCTTTTTTGACTGTGTGAGATAGTGTCTCATTGTGGTTTTGACTGGATTACAAAAAATGTTGTACATATACGCTATGAAATACTATACAGCTATAAAAAATAATTAGATCATGTCCTTCACATTTGCTAAGGCCATTATCCTTAGCAAACTAATGCAGGAACAGAAAGCAAATATTGCATATTCCCACTTAAAAGTGGGAGCTACATGATAAGAACACATGGACATATAGAGGGAAACAACAAACGCTGGGGCTTTTCAAAGGGTGGAGATGAAAGGAGAGAGAGGATCAGAAAAAATAACTAATGGGTACTCAGCTTATTACTTGGGTGATGAAATAATCTGTATAACAAACTCCATGACGCAATGACACAAGTTTACTTTAAGAAACCCACACATCTACCCCTGCATGTAAAACAAAAGTTAAAAAAGAAATGAGCCAATAAGGAGCTCAATATTATTTCCAGAGACAAATAAAGCATGCTAAAAAGTTATGCTCACAAAACAGATAAAAATCCAACTTGCCATTTCAAAATAAACTCAAAGACATTAAAGAAAATTATACAAGACATGAAGAAACAATGTAAATCAGAATTGTTAAAGCTGAGAACTGAAGTGACAGAAAATAATTAGAAATAAAAGAACATATCATTTCAAAAATGAAGATTAAACTAGGATATGGTGCAGAAAAACACATAGCTAAGGGAAACAGAAGGCAGAAAGGAGCATTTCTTACAGTCAAATGGGAATAATGAGGTAAAGGGATTCAAGAGAATGTAACAAATACAAACATAGCAAAGAATATCTAATATAGAGATACTAGGAGTCCCTGAAGAACAAAAAGCAAGAAGAGAAAAAATTAAAAAAAAAACTTTTCTGATATTTAAAAAAAAAAAGATTTAAAACAACATATTGCAGCAACATACTACCTGAGACTATTGACCCAGAATGACCAATATGAAAAAATTTCTAGCGAAATTAATAAAGATTAAAGAAAAAATCCTATGGTCATCTAGAAAAAAGGTCATGTAACTTTTAAAGAAAATAAAATTAGATTTCTACCAGACTTTTAACAGCAACATTTTATTTCTGAAGAAAATAGAGTAGTATCAGTAAGCTATTTAAAACAAAAAAGTATAAGCTGAGGATTTTATATTCATTAAAATAGACTGTAGAGAATACAAGATACACATAAACTATTATCAACTTTTAAGAACATATGGAATATTGTTCCAGTGAGCCCTTCCTGAGTCCTTTACTAGGGAACGAAGTTTTAAACAATCAAAATAGAGAACTAAGACTAAATAATAGCTTAAGGAGAGAGTATAGTAGGCAATGGATGAATGTTGTAATCGTGTTGATATTGTAAGCTTCTCAAAAAATGTAATCAGAATAGAAATAGATTTGTTGTCTAATAAAAATCTGCCACAAATGTATACTTAATAATGAAGCATTCAATTTAAAGTAATAAACCAGTCAAATATGCCCCATCACCAAACTGACATTATGCCAGTGGCCCAAGCCAGCACAATAGTGCAAAGATACACATATTGAATTGTAATTTTTTTTTGCTTTTTAATTTAGAGAGAGAGAAAGAGAAAAAATATAGAGATAAATTAAAAAATGAGAATAAAATATTACAATTCAGACATGATAGTCCAAGAAACTACACAAACCATTAGAACTAACAAACATTCAAAAAGGTTCTGGATATAAGATCAGTAAATAAAGAAACTTATCTCTCTATCAACAAAAACAATCAGAATATGTTTTCTTTCAAGGTACCTTTGCAAATAGCATCAAAACCTATATGATACCTAGGAACAAATATAACTGAAGTTGTGCAAGATTTTAATAAAGAGAAAAATCAAAAGACACAAAAGAGGATTGAAATAAGTGGAGAATTATACTATGTTCATCGGTGGGAAGATTCAACACCATAAAGATATCAGTTCTCTTCAAATATCTGCCAATATGACATAATTTTACATGGAACCCCACTAGCATGCTGATTATAAAATTCACATGAGATACAAAAATAGCAATTCTTAAAAACAAGGTGGTGTTCTTGCACTACAAGGCATAGAGAGTTGCAGTAATTAGGATAAGGTGGTCTTTGTACATGGATAAGCAACAGACCAATTGAATAGGGCAAAGAACCTAGAAACAGAGACACATAACTAAAAATTTAAAGCCTACGCCGTAATTATATTTTAGTAGATTTTGTTTTAGTGTCTGGAAGTCAGTATTTTCTCAGGGCTCGGATTTCACTACATTAAGACTCGGAACTAAAATTGGATTTAACAAGAACTGTTCTCCTGGAGTCAGTCTGTTGTCTTACTCTTACCTTGTTTTTTGTTGTTGTTGTTTGTTGATTGGGTTTTGTTTTGTTTTGTTTTGTTTTGTTTTTGAGATGGAGTTTCACTCTTGTTGCCCAAGCTGGAGTGCAGTGGCATGCTATCGGCTCACTGTAACCTGTGCCTCCCAGGTTCAAGTGATTCTCCTGCCTCAGGTTCCTGAGTAGCTGGGATTACAGGTACCTTCCACCATGCCTGGCTAGTTTTTTTTATTTTTAGTAGAGGTGGGGTTTCATTACATTGGCCAGGCTGGTCTCAAAACTGCCGACCTCAGGTGATCCACCTGCCTCGGCCTCCCAAAGTGCTGGGATTATAGGTGTTAGCTACTGCACCTGACTGTCTTACCTTGTTATTTATTAAAACAAACAAACAAACAAACAAACAAAAAAAAACCTTTAACCTCAGGATGTTCAGTTTTTATATAGGCTTTTGTTTATTCATAAGACAGAGTGAGAAAACTTTGGCATAGCCAGCAGGGATATTAATGTCAGTGTTGCCTTTTGCCAGTGATTCATTGTGAGTGACTCCACCTCTGTTTCCTCATTTAAAGATAGAATGAATAATGTTCATAAAAGCACTTCAAAAACTCACACATACACCTCTACCATATGGTCATAAGAAATAATAATTGTTATTGAAGCCTTTCTCAAGCTCCAGACACTGTACCAAACCCTTGCAGTGCATGGACTATAGGCATTAATTCTGGAAACAACCAAATGTAGGTAGGTACAATTTGTTTTATGTCTGGCACATTCTGGTTTAGAACAGTTAAATAACTTTCCCAAGGTTCAGGTCAATCAGATAGTTAAAAAAAAGAAATGGAGTTAGGACTTATATTTGTGTCTGTTGAATAGCAGTACCTTGGCTCTTAATATCTACTCCACAATGTCTCTCTATAAAATATTGTCATTAACCTGTTTGAAATTGAACTAGTACATTTTCAGCCTTAAAATAGAAGAAGAAAATGTGCAATCCAAATTAATTAAAACCAACTAATTATGTTTCTCAGAAACATCTTTATAAAATAAATTGGCTTCTTTTTAATTTAGTCTGCTAACAAGAAATATACAGGGGACCAGTAGGTACCTCTAAAAAACAACAAATTTGAAAAGTCTGAGAAACTTGGAGAGAGTCCTGTTTCCTGAAACAAGAGTAAACTCTTAATGCCCTGTTTATGGAGAAGATCTTGCACTGATACATGAAGAAGCTCTTTTTAATTAACTAGATAGGAATTTAATATCTTCACATATGCAAGGCAAGTCGACTTGCCCAGCAACCAGATACACCAAGCTTTGTATATTAGTTCTGCTCTTTTGGCTTCCAAGTGAGCCTTCTAAGTCATGGGCATTAGGGCTAGGTCTTAAGTAATGGTTTTGTACTCAAGTGTTTCTTGGGAAACCTAGGATATGCTAGCCAGTGGCAAAGATCACAAAGTGACCTAGCACATTAAAAATTATTAGCTACAAGAATAAACCACAAGAGCTCAAATTAAAATACCCAGGAGATTAACTTGCTGAATATCACGTTGTTTTCATTGAATGTGGCCAAAGAGATCTTCAGAGCAATGGCAGAATAGGAAACTGACAATGAAGCATTCCATGCAAATGCATATCTGTTTTTGCATAGTTTATCCAGAAACCATTTCCAAGTTACCTAAAAGGTGAGTTTTGCCACTTTACTATAGTTCTAAGTGTGAAGGTATATTTTCCGACTCAGGGTTACTACTAAACTCTGACGGGATCTGTGGCTTTCTTAGTGGTCCCCTGAGTAGCCTCATTACCAAGACTGAGAACAGTTTTTCTGTTATTTTTTCTGATATTTTATCCTGATATTTTGCACTTAGGATAAACAAAACCTCCTACAAATTTCTTAGTTGTATTAAGAGTAAAAATTGTTTAAAAATTTTCTTGACATTTTATTAGTGGTATTTCATCTGAGTATACAAATTCTGGGTCTGTTTATAAGATCAAACACCTTAAGAGCAAATGGTATAATTCCATTTATTTATAAATTATATTATCAAAATTAATGTATGGGGCCAGGTGCAGTGGCCTATGCCTGAAATCCTAGTACTTTGAGAAGCCAAGGCAGGTGGATCCCTTAAGCCCAGGAGTGTGAGACCAGCCTGGACAATACAGTGAAATCCCATCTCTATGAAGAAAATACAAAAATTAGCTGGGCTATGTGGTATATGCCTGTAGTCCCAGATACTTGGGAGGCTAAGGCAGGAGGATCATATGACCCAGGGAGGTGAAAATTGCAGTGAGCCAAGATTGTGCCACTGCACACCAGTTGGCTGACACTGAGACTCTGTCTCCAAAAAAAAAGTATGGTTCTTGTTGCAAAAATACTGCACGGTGGGAACCATCTTTCTGTTTATATTTCTGCCTTCCATAATAGTTAACATAGACTATTATCCAAAGGATACATTCAGTAAATTATTCTTTGAGTGGAACTAAATTGTTTAATTACATTTTTTAAATATTTAACTTAATTTTATATATTGCATTTTGTAATTGTCATTTTCCCTTATTAAACAAATATTTATTGAGCCTGTAATTTGTTTCAGAAATATATTAACATTGTATTTCTTTTGAAACCATTTTTATCACAAAATTACAAAGAATAAAATAATAGAATTTTACAGTTAGGAGGCTTAAGGATTCCTAGTTCAACACACTTATTTTAGAGAAGATGAAGAAATTTTGCAAGA